GCAAATGTTCGGGGCTCAGGGTCACCGGTGTTCGTTGGCCTGATAAGCCACCAGTGAACTCTAAAGGTGTAGCATGTGTGTCGTCCAAGACTTTGAGCTCCGGCCTTGGAATGCTCAACTTTAGGCACCTTGCAAGAAAATCTGCACAGCTTGTACGTATCCGTATGCTCTTCAAGGTCTAAACAAACTATGTGCGTGTGTGGGCGTTGAAACTGGCTGTAGTCGAATCTGATGCAAAAACCAAGCAGTCAGAGTCTTGACCCCTCGGTGGGATATCGGTGTAACGGTGTATCGGTGCGCGGCCAATATGCCGATATCCATCAAGCTGGTGTAGTGGGGGATATCGGTGCGCCGCTGATACGCCGATGGGGGATATCGGTGTACCGGTGTATGGGTGGGATATCGGTGTATCGGTGTATCGGTGCCGCGCAGATTGGAAACCCGCGGCGCCGGCACAATGAACTTCTTGACACAAACGATAGAATCTGTAGTACTGTAGATTGCTTTAGTCGTTATAGTCTTTACGTGAAAATGCTGTTGGATCGTCGTGCCTCCGGAGGTGGAAGTCCTGCCACTTGCTCTTCTCCCCTGTCACTGGCTTGTGCCTCTATCGATTGGCAGTCGACAAGAAGATTACATTGCAAGCAATCCTTGCTGGCCTGTGCCAAAGCTTAAGGAGAAAGCCCCCATTAAAGTCATTACTGTAAAGATCCTGCAAATGCATTTCACGTCTAATGCCATCATGCTCTGGTATTGGCGGACCAAGCCAGCATGCCAATCGCGAAAGCATGGCAAACATGGATGTCCAAACATTGTTTATTCTCCAGCAGCGCACATGTCAACAGTTACCTCTTCACTCATCTTCGCCCAGTATATAACTATACCCTAATCTTCAATGGCTATAGAAAACTTCGTCGTAACTTGTGACTAAGTTTAACCAGGTAAAACTTGATCGTAACCCTTTGACTAAGTTTAACCAGCCCCTTATGCATTCCAGTGGCTCGAACCGAACCGATACACGTGCAAGAGCTTATAAAACTTGGATTCAATCAATCGAATATGATTCTCGATAATTTGCTACGTTATAATGAACATCGATCTTGAGATCTTGAGATTTCGTTGTGCTCCCAATGAGCTGATGGAGAAAGCACTACGAAAGAGTCCGGATCTTGGAAGACTCATAAAAGCTGGTCGATAGCGTTCGGTATCGAAACCCAGGGAAATTTGAGCTTCGACATGTTCGAGAAGGTGCATCCTGCCCACACTGTGCACATCACACGTTCAAGTTCAATGGACACAATGAGACAGTGTCAATGAGCATTTCCAGCATGCCAACTCTCCACACTTGCTCGAATAACTTGGATCAAGGGAAGGAACCACCGCCCGTGCAAGAGCATTTTTTGTCGCTCTTTTTTTGGGGCGTCTGAGATCGTCGATGCCCACGATCAAACCTGATCCGGGCCGCGTGGCGCTGTTGAAGGCGCTCGAGATATGTGTTTTGACATGGTCTTGCAATCCTGGACTTAGCCAGGATTTCTATGGAGAACAGCTACAAGGTGACTTCAGGGCTGACCGGTTCTGGGAGCTGGCCAAGAAAGACGGTGTTCCGCGTGGAAAGTTCGAAAAGTTCATGCAGGAAAACAAGGTACACCCAGCGAATTGTTTTGTGGAACATTGTTGTTTTTTTCCACCGCGCCAGGTGCCATGTGTGTTTTCCTTCATCGACGTCCATGAAAAGAAAGGCTTGAACGAAGATACGGTACACCTGACATGTTGGTATACCCCATGGAGTGTGAGCCGTCTTCCGTGGAGCCCCCTGTGCCAGATGCAGACCAAACGGAACATCAACTTCTTGACTTCATGGTTGCCAACTTTTGCTTTGAACCCTCCAACAGCGAAAGAATGCCAGGCCAGGGTGTTGTTATTTGCCCTAACACCTGCTTGCAAAACACCCCTTAGTTGTGACAGGAAGCTTTGGTTTCGATCGCCATTGACTGCCGCCTGGTGAATGACAAATCCGAGAGCCAAGACGTTGAGGACTTCTTGGGACACTGACACCGATTGTCAAAATCATTGTTGGGTTTCAGGACTGGGCCACAAAGGAAGGTAATCTTCACCGAGCGCTTTCTGCAAAAGTTCTCAACTGCTATCGTAGAGCTGGCAGTGGAAGGCTTGGATGACTCTTCACAGTTTTCCAACTTATAAATGTTCAAAACCCAGCATATGCACAGGCGGAAGGATGGTCCCCTACATCAAATCAAGTGCCTGATCAAGGCAATCTTTGAGGAGGGGTTTCAATGTCTTGCACTACACTTCAAACCCAAATAGGTCATACAACCAATCAAACTAGACTAGATTTTATTTTCTTTTGGCAGGATGCGGGTGTGGTGAAGCGTACAAGGTCGATCAGGAAACCTCTTTCCAAAGCAGAGGCTTGGCCCCTTTGCCATACAATATTGGGTGTGTTTTCTATCCTTGGGAGGCCGAAGCTATTGAAGCAAAAGTCAAAGAACAAAAAAGCTATGCACCGACAGAAGAAGAAGGCACAGACCAAAACAAAAAGGACGGAGACGAGGAGGCCGAGGATGACAACTCGGTGGTGATTGAGGAAGAAGAAGAAGAAGAGGAAGATGAATTCGATCAGGATTGTGAGGTAGAGCCTGCTGAAAGTCAGGTTGAAGAGAACGGAGAAGTGTGCGCAAAGATCTCGGAGGATGAACAGGCTCTCCTTCAAGCGCATGAAGAATTCAACAAAAGGCTTGAGCAGGAAGCGCACGAGATGGATGCGGAAAAAAAGGCTTATGAGGAGGAATTTCGTAGAAGAGTTGACATGGAGTTGGAAATGATCATGCAATCCATCAACGAGGAGGGCAAGAAGGATGAGTGCAAGGTTGAGGAGCCAAAACAGGAAAGTGAAGAAAATCAGAAAAAGATTGAGGAAGAGGCACAAAGGATTTTGGAGGAGGGAGAAGAGGAGCAGAAGAGAGAAGAATCCGAGAAGGAGAGGCAGCGCAAGGAGGAAGAACAAAAGAAGATTGAGGAGCAACAGAAGAA